GCATGGGAATGCCCAATGGTTTCACTGGCACTACACAAACTGGTGTGATGGGACTTCCTCAAAATGTCGTTGGACCCCAAGGAGGAATGGTGGGACAAATGGTTACTGCACAAAATAACTATGGCATGCAACAAAATCAACAGGCTCAATGGAACATCTCTCAGGTGAGGATTTTTTTGCCCCTATATTGATTGGATAAAAGTTACTGTTTTATGAATGGTTACAAAGTAGCAGTCGTGTTAGTCTGTATCCGCAAAAAGAACAGGAGTACTTGTGGCACCTCAGAGACTAACAAATTTATTTCAGCATAAGCTTTCGTGGGCTACAGCTCACTTCTTCAGATGCATAGAGTGGACACTGCATCCGAAGAAGTGAGCTGTAGCCCACGAAAGCTTATGCTGAAATAAATTTGTTAGTCTCTAAGGTGCCACAAGTACTCCTGTTGTTTTTGTTTTATGAATAAAATCATTCGTTTTCTACAAGCTATACTTGGAAAGCTGTAGCTCTGTTCTGTTGTAGACCCTGTGATGAAACTGTTTCTTCCATGTCTGAGACGGCTGCATAAAATTACAGATGTGATGCATTTAAACTTAGAGTAAAGAAACCAGCTATAATTCTGAGTGCAATTTAGCCAACTCCTAGAACAGATTGAACAATGTACTTTAAAATGACTACCACAAATACCACAATCTCTGAGTTACTGTGTATTAACTGCTGTTGCCCAATTCATGGAGCCAGATTCTCCAATCAGTTGTATGTGTGCAACTCCATTCATTTTAATGGTATTGCACGCATGTAAGTGAGCACAGAACTTAGACCCAATGAGAATGGCCATTTGCCATTCATCTGCACTTTCAAATGAGATACTTTAAAATAGGCTTTAGTGGAGGATGCACATTACTGTTTGTGCCCTGACTCTACTGTAGTTGAATAATGGTTAGTCTAACCAAATAATCTGAAAATAGTTTACCCTTTTTTATTTTGATAAAACATGTTTGAAGGTTCCATTGTAGTAACAATTATAAAGAGTGTTGATGTGTGTGCTCAGTACTGTATTGGTCAGTGGTGCCCAAACTTTTCCTGTCATGGCCCCCCCTTACCAGTAATGGAATCTGTCCGCCTCCCACCCACCCCCATTACTGCACAGCCAAAGCTTCTGCAGCATAGGACCTTGGGCTGACAGCGAAGCTGGGGGCAGAACTGGGGATGGTGGTAGTGAGGGAATGAGGGTGGAGTGGGGCTAGGTGGTACTCCCTCCCCATGCCATGGGGGCTGGCCCACGCCCTGCCACGTGCCCCTCCCGAACGTACTTTCGTGCCCCCCAACAAGGGTGTATCCCACAGTTTGGGGACCACTGATTTAAGCGATTCAGTGTAACATTCTAAAAGCAAATATTTCAAGAGAGAGGTTAATTTTATATCTAAATTAATTTTTGTTTTCGTTGGAAGTTTAAGGAGCTAAACATGTATAGCATAATCATTCATTTTGTATTTAATGTACATGATTTTAATCGATCATGTTAAGTTTTTGGTCTCAACATACATATCATAATTTCAAATTTAATTTTAAATATTTATATTTAAAAACCTTGTATTTAATTTACATTTTAAAAAATCATATTTTTAAATAATTGATTTATATCCTAACAGGGTGGATAACAAATATTTTTTGCTTATCGGTCAAATCTTACAATTGTATCATTTTCTAAAAAATAAGTTTAGAATACTTATCTCAAAAAAAGTCCCAAAACAGCTTGCATTTTTCCAAATATGGGGTTTTCTGGGAACAGGACATTTTTAAAAAATGAAAACATAGTTACATAATTGTATATAATCTACCAATAATTATAGCTAAATATTTGTTTCTCTTAAGTAATTTTTGTGGCATATGCTAATTCTGCACAAACATTTTGCTAATAAATTTATATAAAATATAGTTGAAAAATCACAGGCTTTTGTATGTAAATATAAAATAAAGCCTTCCTTTCCAGTTTGAAAACAATCTGTTGGATAGGTTCATTTTGTAATAGTTCATGAAAATGAGAAAGTCAGTGTTCTGTATTTCTAGATCATAAAGCACACTCAAGAATGAGATGCTGCACTTTCCTTGATCAGCAAATGAGAGACAACTCAATTCATAAAAGATCTGAAATATTCCAGAGCCTTCACTCCCTGCAAACAGATACAATTAGAAATTCAGTATCACACTGCAAACATAATTTTGAAATTTGGATAGAGAACACTTTAAAAAAAAAAAAACATGAAATCTTTAACCTCTATCTGCAGAAAACTCTCTGTAAAGCTTGATCATTCATAGTTCATTTCTTTAAACTTTGGATGGACTAATTCACAAAAAAGGTTTAATTAATTAAAAAGGACATCCAGTTACTGCCTTTCATTTAATTTTAGTATAATGATCCAAAAAATGAGTCATTTTACAAAGGTGGTAAGAATACTGCTTACCTTCTACCAAAGTAATTAATTCACAGTAATTTTTAAGAATCAATATGAAAATAGTCTTCTCCTACCAAAACATTCTAGTGATTAAAAAAAATCAAAAATGTAATTGCAGAATAAATATGCACTAAGTAAAATCATATTTATCTGAAGTGTTCTGGGAACAAAACAGCAGTGGGAGAAATTAGGATTTTAAATAACGCGTAGGAGTTACTGGGTAAGTGATGACTGCAGGGGAACATAACAGGTAAGAGGCCATTTTGATAAAACAGTGTTGAGATAAACAGGGTTGTACACTCACTTCTGAATTGTAATTTTAAAAAAAATCATAGTGTGAAGGATTTTGCTGAAAGTACTTTAAAATTAATTTTAATTAGTTACTGTGAATATTTCACTTTGATAGAGTAAAATTATGTTACGATGATAGCTAATGTCCTGACTCTTCTAATTCATATATACAAAGTCAAACCAGTAATAACGGAAACATGGAAATTATAAAATGCAGGATAGATTAACCTGTGGACTAAAATGCTGACTGAAAATGCTAAACTATTTTTATTTTGTGGAATAAGTTAACTCAGTTTTTTGAACTAGAGGGTAAGAGACCTACTACTACAGATACCCAAAAAATTTCGTTGCGTCCAATGAGGGGGGGACACATCAGGTTAGAATTAGATATTTGGAAAAAACTCTTAACATCTTAGCTTAAGGCTGAAATTTTTGAAAAACTGTTTTACTTCACCATTTATGTTTACATATGTGATTACTTTTCAAAGCATAATGGCAGCCACTACTTTCAGACACATTTTAGTTTATTCATACTGAGAAATGCTGTTTACCTTAATGCATTTTCAGATTGCAAAGCTGACCAGAACATTACAAATTAACATAGTGTAATAAATCTATATAACCCCTTAAAGTACACTTCATATGTTTATTATAGATGTAAGCAGCAATGTAATTATTTTATCATTCCTCTCCAGTTACAAATGTTTTAGTGATAAGACAGTATTAACACGATTCTTACCTTGCTTTCTCCTGACTGGCCAAACACCTGGAAGCCAATTTGTTGATGTGCTAAACCAGCTTTTGACAGGCGTTTCATTTAATAAAAAAAATTAAATGCTGTTTTTGTATATTTGGATTTCCATCCAAATGGAGCTTGCCTTCAATCACAAATAAAAATATTATGAATCATCTAATTAATACTTCATTCACCATTTTCTAACATAAAATGTAAAAATTAAGAATCTAAAGGTGAGTTAAGCTATATAATACACTGTATCTTGCTGGTTAGCCAAAAAAAGGACCATATTTAGCAGCAAATAACATGTTGTAATAGGCTGATTCTTATTACTTGATAACTTTCTTTAGGAAAATAACTAAAAATTACAAATGCAAAATATGATTAAAATCAATTTGTTAAATCAAGGTTTCCTGCTTGCTGATTTAAATTAGTGATTTAAATCAATCCACCATTTTGTTCCCTAACATTATATTTACTTGGTTTAGGAACCCTTTTACTGTTTCAAGCTGATAAAAAGTTTGTGTGCTCTAACACCAGTACTAACTAGAACTGTGTGTGCATTTCACAGATGAATCAGCAAATGGCTGGCATGAATCTCACTAGTTCCAGCAATGTGATGGGCTTTGGCCAGCCCCCCAATACAGTGGCAGGATGGACAGGAAGCTCTTCAGGTCAGACTCTCAGCACACAACTGTGGAAATGAAAATTGCAACAGAAGTTTCATGCAGAACAGTCACTTGACATTCCTTGCTCAAATGCATTTATTCTTTTTCTTTTCTCCCAGTTGTTCAGATTAAGAAGTTATCTAACTGACTGTGTTGTGGGCTATATTGATTTAAATTTGATGTGGCGGAAAGCAGATTGAGAATACATTTATATATCATTGGCAGCTCTTTCATATTACAGTACATATGATTTCATAAACCATATCAACCAGCTGCTTTACCAACTGCATACTCAATTTTTTTCCTCAAAATTATAGATCAAACATTTGCATATAAGGGACGTAGCTATCATGTTAGTAATATCTCTAAATATATAAACCTTGCCCCCCAAATTACCCAGTAACCCTTGTAGAAGGTACTGTATGAACAAATGTTTAATCATACAAATAGAATGTAAATGTATCACTGAACAATGTTTTTAGTGTATCAAACATACTGTGTTTTATCATTCATTTCACTGTGATGTTATTATGGTGTGCTTAACAGGGAACATGGTTAGTGAAAGCAAGATAAACCTGGATATTACTGTAGTTCCACACATTTTTAGTTTATTCTTTTAAAACATGAATATTTGATCCATTTGAATTTCCTGTGATAAAATATGCAATTTGGCTCCATATGTGTATGGGTATAGAGAACTTATTGCACAATATGCATACAGGGTAACTCACCACATAAGGATACTTTTTGTCCTTGCAGATATATCCAGGTTTGACAGTAATTGTGTTTACATTTTATGGTGCCTCGTATTGATAAAATGTTATTTCCCTATATTAAAAAGATAAAGCCATAAACCATTGTGTGGTTTTTATTTCATGCTGTATGATCTACCTTGTCACTGTGACTTCAAGAAAGTTGTTGTGTAATACAAGAAAAACACATTTAATCTGGAAAGTGCTTTGAACAAATATTTTTGGTGACCAACATTTTGCAATCTTACACCAGTTTATAATAATTCCATCAATTAAGTTGGATAAATAATGTTTCTGAAAATGTTGCACTTCAGTTCTTTCACTCTTGATTGGTATTACTATGTGGAAACTCTTAAAACAAATGCTTATATTTGAGTTCGATGATACTGAGCTGAGAAATGCATGCAAAACAAGACAAAAGATGTTATGTCTCTTAAGATATCAGATTTGCTTATCTGACAAATTTTTGTTTGTACAGAAGTCCATCAGATGACGAGTACAGGATGTTGCAGAGTGGTAGATTGTACACTGCTTGAATTCTTAATTGAAGTTTCAGGCATCTTCAGCCACATCCATTTCCTACAGTATGTCCCCCACAGTTATATCTCTAGATCATACCTCAATTTTAACTGTGTCTAGGTGGTATTTTGGCTCATTACCTAGATTTACCTTTTCTGTTCGAGTGTGCCATACAAGAACCTAAAAAACAGAAGGTTAATTAGTGCAGTATTCGGTAATCTACAAAGATAGCTATAAGTATTCTGCAATGATAGTGGAATTGGTACCTTTGTGCAATTGTTTGCTTTTGGTTCCAGCTCCTCCACGGTTGTTATCTGTTTCAGAAAATCAGATTCTTGCATTCCTGGTTGAGACCCACGGCGTTTGAATACAGCTTTAGGGTTTGACAGAATCACCTGAAGGCTCACAGCAAATCCTTTAAGACAAGTTTTTAAAATAAGAAGTCAAAAGTTTTAAATTTTTCACGTGGATATCATTTAAATCTGAAAATGGTTAGGAATTTGCATATTTGTTATTTTATATTCTTATGTATTATTCGGGTAGACTTTTACGTACTGTACAATTGTAGACTAAAACCTATTGATGAAATTGATTTCTTTTTGCTGTGAAATTGTCTGTTTCACTTAATTTCTGCACATTTATACCTACTGCCTATTGTGCAACAAAATCGGTTTTGTTTTTATATTTTCTTTTAGCTGATTAACTGTGCTGTCTCAAAAATCAATGCTTTCTCTTACTTTTCATTGTCTTGGTAAATATAAACCAATACTAATATAAATGTTATGAATTCACATGTGCTAGTATAAACACTTCCAGCTGAAATATGAAGGTAAGTTAAAACAGGAAGACTAAGCCAAGCAGCTCAGTGTCTTCTCTGAAATAGCTTTTTTTAGTTACTGAAGTTTAGGATTTCAAACTGAACTCTGTTGTTGCTGGAAGGCAAGTAAATTTAGATTGATTTTGGCATTATAATTTATATCGTTTGTATTAATAGTTTGGTGTACAAAAAAAATACATGTTTTATTAAAGAAGTATCCACAGATCTCCAGATTGTAGTCACCTAACCTAACACAAGCCAACTGACAAGTTTTAGGACTAAGCAATCTGACATGTATGCTTGTAATATGAGCTGGCCAGTTTTTGAAAAACATTCAACACAAGGGCAACACACCTACTGGAAAAAGAAATTACAGATGCTCATTCTAAGGCATGTATTAACAGACCTGTTACATTCACCAATAAAATGCTCCTCAAGGGCAGTTTGGAATGGTGTCCATTGTATTTTTCTCAAAGGAGTCACAACATAATTTTGAAATCTGTTCTGGAATACTGGCGAGAGCTATTTAATGCTGCAAAGAGTCTGAAATGTAACTTTATTGGCATATATATCAGTCCCATTTTCTACTACAATAATCCTGCAGGGATACTTTCTCTGAAATGATCATATCTGAAGGAACTCTAGTATCTTATCAGGTCCCTTTAGTGCAGCATCCTTTTTAGATATGAAAGTGCAACTGAATAAAAAGGAAATATTTTCATGCATCACATGCAAAACAGCTTTTAAGTGCTGTTGTTGCCGATGCAAAACAGCTTTTAAGTGCTGTTGTTGCCGTCTTGCAAGTACTTGAGTTAGACCTGAAAATAGATGGTCTCCACTTTAGCAAGTCAAGTCAGGTACCAACAGGGGAGATCTAAAAATAGTACAGCTTGTAAAGCCATTCTGAAACTGATTCAGGTAAAACAGTTTATATTTTCTGAATACCTTGATTAGTTCTGGGGACAAATTTTTAGGCAGTTTATCATTTTAATCTTTTCCATATGCATCTGTCCTTCCCCCACACTTATTCATGCTCATTTTACCTAGGTTACAGAGGTGCATATACAAAGGATCCTCTCTCTCTCAATAGGGAAAGCCTTAATTTCCTCACTGCCTGAAGTGTTAAACTTCAGAATCATTTCTGATCATCTGAGTCATTAGTTCATAGGCAATTGCTTTTTGCTGTATGTCAAAGCAGTCATCTTAGACAGCTTAAATATCTCACCAGAAACCTACCAACCACAATTCTGCTTCGAGACTGTAGCCAGACCTTAGTCTGAGAGAGGCTAGAGGGGACAGGAAGTAAAGTGGAGGATGTAAATCAAACTCCAGTGTATCTGTGGGGACATCTGACCCTACCCAACAAGAGACGTACGGCTGACCATGCAAGAACACATGGAAACATTACAGGCTGCAGTGGCAAAAGACCTGCTCTGCTTGGTCATACTTGGGCATGAATGGAAGTTCTTCAAAGAAGTGGTCAAAGAGTGGCAGGGCACCTCATTGGAGAAAGTGGAGCTGGAAGACCCGAGAAGGCAGGAGACAGCTGCAGTGGCCAAGAGGGAGCCTCGGGAAGAAAGGGGATCAAAGGAAGATGAAGAAAGACCCTCCACATTAGTGAAGGATATGTCACCTGGGGCCATAGGGGCTTGCCACTGCCCATCAATCTAGACCTACTTTCCAATGAGGGGGACTTTTGTGGAAGAACAAAGAAACAACCCCACACTGAGCAAGGTTTATGAGCAGCTTGCCTGTGCGGACAGCAAACTACTGGATCCCCAGCAGTTGAAACAGTGGCCCCATTTTGAACAAATAGGCAAGAGAGCATACCAGGCGATGAAGGATCCTAGAATGGGAGAGGTATGAATGCAACGCCTAATATTGAGGAAGTTTCAAAGGAGGGTACTACAGTTGTCCCATACAGCCCCATATGGGCGTCACTTGGGAAGAGAGAAGATGTTTGACAGGTGACCCTGAGATTCTACTGGCCGGGCAGCCACCTGGATGTGGGAGACTATTGTGCCTTATTCGAATGCCAGTGGAAGGGCCCACAGACGGTCTCCCAGCTAACACTACCCATTGTGAGAGTGCCCTTTGAGTGAATAGGCATAAACATGGTGAGCCTGTTAGAAATGTCTGCAGCAGGGCACAAATGCATACTTGTATTGATAAAGTAATGCACATTGGAAAACATAATCCCAACTATACATATAAAATGATGGGGTCTAAATTAGCTGTTACCACTCATGAAAGAGATTCTCCAAAAACATCCACTGGTGGTGTGGCAGTCAAAAAAATCTAACAACGTTGTGAATCACTAAGAAAGAGATAGATAAAAAGACATCATATTGTCTCTATATAAATCTGTGGTGTGCCCACATCTTGACTACTGCATGCAGATGTTTGCCCCATCTCAAAAAAGATATATTGGAATTGGAAAAGGTTCAAAAAAGGGCAACAAAATTGATTAAGGGTACAGAACAGCTGCCGTATGAGAAGAGATTAATAAAATTGGGACTTTACAGCTTGGAAAAGAGATGACTAAGAGAGAGGATATGACAGAGGTCTATAAAATCATGACTGGTGTGGAGAAAGTAAAAAAGGAAGTGTTATTTACTCCTCCTCCTAACACAAGAACGAGGGGTCACCAAATGAAATCAATAGGCAGCAGATTTAAAACAAAAGGAAGTATTTCTTCACACAACGCACAGTCAACCTGTGGAACTCTTTGCCAGGGCATGTTGTGAAGGCCAAGACTATAATAGGGTTCAAAAAAGAACTAGTTAAGTTCATGGAGAATAGGTCCATCAATGGCTATTAGCCAAGATGGGCAGGGATAGTGTTCCTAGTTTCTATTTGCCAGAAACTGGGAATGGGTAACGGGATGGATGGATCACTTGATGATTAACTGTTCTGTTCATTCCCTCTGGGGCACCTGGCATTGGCCACTGTCAGAAGACAGGATACTGGGCTAGATGGACCTTTGGTCTGACCCAGTATGGCCGTTCTTAATATGAGAATGCAGCCTCCTGGGCCACAGTAAAGGAGACTCCTGCTACCTCAGTCCAGCAGCCGGGAGGGGGAGGAAGGAGAAGAGAGAGCACAGTGTCCTGCAGCATAAGGCAGCGACCTCAAAACTGGATTCTATTTCCCCACCCATACACTTCCTCTGTCACTGAAAGTGCTTGTCTGAAAAACATTGGAATTTTTCTTCAAGGTTACCTTTGCCATCAAGTGTTAACTTGGTTCCCTTTTCTGCTAAACATATTTTTGGCTTCTCAACTCAGTCTTAATTGTATAGACAATCTGAGAGCTTCTCTACATGATACTTTAGTCTACATAAGTGTGTCACTCACTAACTGGCCCATATGGACCCTTCTAATGTGCACTAAACATTTTCTTATGCATCTTAACATAGTGCTGTTTGAAACAGAGCTACATTCACGCACACTAAGGAACTTTTAGTGAACACCGTCAGGCCAGTTAGCACACACAACATGCTCATGTGCACTGAAATTTACAGCCCTGTAATGTGGACTAAAGCGCCATATAGACAAGGCCTGAGTAGGCAAACTCATTTTTTCCCTTCATTTGTCTTTAGTTCTGTAAGAACAGAAACCAAATGGCTCGGTAGCTGAGAAAAAGACTGAGGCCTTACTGGTGAAAAGGACTTCACCAAGGAAGGAGGCCTATTGTCATAAATGGAGACATTCACTCTTCCTGAATATTAAAAAAAAAAAATTATATATGCGCACACATGCACACACCCTCGTTGATGCAAGAACATGCTATGTTTATCATTGTCTAGTTAAAGAATACATTTCTAACAATTTGCCTAGCCACTGCTTCTTTTCTGTGGGAAGTTATAAAGAAAATGTATTTCTGCACAGCATTTGCTGCTTAGATTTATCTGTGAATACACATAAATCCCTTCATTTAAAGCAAGCAGTTGTGAATGTTAGCTCCTTAGTGGCAGTGGCTACACTGCTGGTCATGGTCCCAGATGAGAAAATTAACCCTTGACTGACCACGTTCTTTCTGAGTAGCTTTCAAGGAACAAGCACGGCAAAAAGCTTATCAGCTCTAAAGTAACTTGCATGTACTCTCTTTATCTAAAGGCAGTATCCAAACCTCATAGATTCTCTGACTTCCAAAGCCAGACTTACCCAAGCCTAGGAAATAAGGCAACATACACTAATAGATTTGAAAGTCTGTTGGGAGTAAAAACCTGAATGTTGCCTGTGGGCTTCAGCCTAGCCCTTATCTCCCTGCAAAAAAATCCCATGTCATTCCACAGCAGGATATTTTCTTTTAAAGAGTAGATTAGGGTTTTTAAAAAATAAATCTGGCACTGAAAACATTCTTCCCTTGCTTAGCCTCTAAGTGAAATATATGAAAACATTTGAGAAATGTCCCAGAACTGTTCTATGGTGGGAATGCCCATCACACTACAGCTCACTCCACCCACGTTTGGATACAACAGCAGCCTCAGGTCCGTCCAGCTTTGGAGATTCGCAAGGCAAGCACTTAAATTCACTACATACTGCAGAGGGTACTGTCATGGCAGCACTACTAAAGCAGACATAATATGTTGGTAA